CCTTCACTCATTTGTTCATTCGTCCATTCAATAAATATTTATTTAGCTTCTCCCAGGTGCCCGGCAGTGTTCAGAACGCTGGAGATACAGTAGGGAACAGTCTGTGTGCTCAGTAAGCCTCCTGGAGAAAGGAATAGTGCACGAGTGTTAAAAGGAAATATGGTACACGAGGTGGCGATGAGTAAAGGGGTTCAGATTGTGGGAGGCACACATAGAGGTGTTGCAAACTCTGTGGCCTTTTCCCTGCAAAGATAGCATTGGTGTAGAGATCAGCATGAACAAAGCAGCCAGCCTTGGAGGTTAGTGGGTTAACTCTTCCCGGTATGGAGGGAGAAGTGTGCAGAGGCCAGGGCATAGTCTGAAGGTTGGCAGATGGCTTCAGAAGGTCAGGGACATGGCCTGTACTAAATCCCAAGGGACTTTATAGGCCACTCCCAAGATTTGGACTGTTACTCTCCAGTGATGTGGAGCAGACATGTGGCACAGTTTGGCTTTGATTCTGAAGGGCTCACTCTGGCAGCGAGATTGAGAATAGGCACAGGAGGCAAAGGCAGAACAGAGGTCAGAAACTCCTGTTGAAATGTGATTGCCACTGTGCCAGCGTTGAGAGGCAGGGCCTGTGGGAAGACATGAACTCTCACAGGAGGCCAAGCCCTTAGTTACAGAATGAATGGGTTGCTGTAAATCAAACCCGGCCCGGTCTTCTCCCTGTCTCTCTTCCAAATGTGCCTGCTTGCTCTTCTGCCACATATGACACAGCACAAGACTTCCCCCAAGTACCCAGTCCTCCTGCTTTCAGAGCCACGAGCTATTCTAAATCATCCATGCTCATGAATTCTGTTACTACACAGAAAAAGGACTAGGTAGAATAGGAGACTGTCAAAAACTTACAGACAGTAGCTGGCAGTGACCTAGCCCAGCTGTCGTAGCAGAAATTGGTGATAAGTGGGCAGATTCTTGACCTAATTTGATGGTTGAGCAGTCAGGTCCGCTGATACATTTGGTATAGGAGTGGAAAAAAGGAACTAAACGTAATTGTGTTTGACCTGAGAAAGGATCCATAGAGTTGTCATTTACTTATCTGGGGAAGATTAAAGAAGGATCAGTTCTGGAGCAAATCAGTTCATTTTTGTTTACACTAAGTTTGAAAGGCATTTTCGATACAAGAAGTCACAGATAAATACCTAAGTCTGAAATTCAGGGAAAAGGTGTGAGTGGGAGAAATCTACTTGGAAATCAGCAGAATTCATTCAGAAGGGATCTGAAGGCATGAAAGCAGGTGATAGTACCTAGGGCAGCCTTCATGAACCCTTTTAGGGCCTGGGTGCCAGACTGCAACCCAAGACACACTTATTTATTGCAGAATGCCAAAACTACAATTAAACCTGGATACTGTGGTTTTATTTTAGAAAGAACAACTCACACATTAACACATTTTGTCTTAAAACACAATCACATACATGCCATAGGTTCTCCACTTCTTCCCTAGAAGCGAACATAGAGAAGACTGCAGATCCAGACCCTTGCACTGCCCAGGCCCTTTCCAATGTAGCTGCAGAGCAGAAAAGAAAGCAGAGACAGCGGTGGTAAACCTGTGGCATGCCTGTCACAGGCAGCTGTTATCACTGAACTTCTAAAAGGTTTGCCATCACTGAGCTAGAGAATCCAGAAGTAATACAGATTGTTCCTTCAATCGGCAGATACTTATGACTATGTCCATATGCCAGAAATTGTGCTAGCCATCAAGAAACAAACATGGAAGACCAGGCAAGTACCTCCAAATAGTTCACATTCATTACGACCAGAAGACAGGGACAGAGAGAATCTCCTGGGCATGTTGCTGAGCAGAATGGAGGAGAGGAACAGCACAGCAACAGTGGCAGTATAAAACTAAAGGTCTGAAGAGCAAATGAAACTCTAATCTCTATCTGGGTCCAGAAAACATAAACCCAGTTTATGGAAATTCCGGGAAGCAAGATAAAAGAAAACCAGAGGAAAGAAGGATTAGAGGGCAGTAGCCTGCAAGGGAGAGAGGGAGGGAGAGAGAACACAAAGACAGGAACCAACCAAGACTGCACAGTTTTACCCTCAGTATTAGACAGTATACTTGGCCTATATTTTAGTCATCTTTGAAATGTTCAGAGAAAAACATAGACTCTATCTTATCTTAAACAAGGTTTCATTGTGTTATGCAACTACCTCCTAATGAAACAATAGTTTTACTAGTTAGAATTGTATTCTAATACTTTCAATTGTATTTTTAAATTCAACTGCAGCTGCTCTAACAATGAAACAGATTGCCCAGCATATTTAACTCTTTCTTTAGCAAAAGTAATTTTGAAGCAAGCTTTTAATATACTTGGAAGGGTGTGCTAGAAGAAATTTGAGCCTACTAATGTAAGCTGAGGAAGAGAAAAATGTGACCAGAATTTAAAATAAGTATAAAGAAAAAGAAAACATTTAATGAAGATGATTCAACAGTGGCTTCTTGGGGAGCTACCAGGTAAAAACTATGAAGTGTATAGTTTCCATAAGGAGCAGTTACATCATTGTCACCAGGCTTTGGGGCGCTAGAGTACCCTTTTAGAGGTGATTTCTAGACTCTTTTTTTGTCCTGAACAATGATCAAAGAAATGATAGCATTTATTAAAGGCAGAGAAAACAGGCTCTGCAGAGTGTGTTTGGCCCACATAGGAAAAAAAAAAGGCTATTGTGAAGAGATAGGACAGTAAATGCTGAACAGTGACTGTCCCTCTTACATTTCCCACCCCAGCGTCAAAAGCCTGCTCACCTTCCCAGGAAGAGTCTCTGACTGGGCTTTGAGAACTGTGCTATGCATGTGTTCTGGGATTAATGGGTCACACCTACTTTTTCATCCAGTGTCAGACTCACATGTTAGTTCACATGCTAGAGTGTAGGTTTAGTTGTTGTAGGGTAAGAGAAGCTTCCTTAAAATTACATTTTGCAGAGAATGCTAAGTCTCTGAAAGAAGGAACACAGGACCCAACTAACTTGTGTTTGAGGGAAGGACTGAGCACTCCTGGGGTAACTGAAGGGAAGCTGGAACCCTGGGGCTGGACTCCTGGTGGCGATGAGGAGTGTGCTTCATTCAACACACAGTCACTGAAGTCTTGTTATATACGAGGGTCTGTACTAAGACCTGCAGATAAATAATGAGCAAAATCTAACATGTTTCCCCTTCCAACCTAAGGCAGTGGTATATGCACCCAGGAATTGAAGGAAATAGCAAAATGGAGACAGACACGAAGGGCTAACGGCTCCTCATCAAAGGGCACATAAAAGACATTGTTTAGCGAATAAGAGGAAAACTTCATTTTTATTTTTTGTCCTTTTGGGACAGATTCTTGCTATGCAGTTGGGCCAGCCTTGAGCTCACTTTGTAGCCCAGGCTAGTCTAGAACTCGAAAGGATCCTCCTGCCTCAGCCTCAGGAGTGCTAGGATTACAGGTATGTGCCACCCCACCTGGCTCTTATTATTTTAAAATAATAATAAACCAGTTAACATTTAAGGTATATTTTGACAGGTACACATATAATCAAAAATAAACAACTTTTGGTAGTATGAGTATAAAATTGTTCATTGGTGAGGACAATAAAAACAATTGTGTGTGGTGTTAAACGAGATTTTTGGAATCATGTTACCTATTAAACCTTTAAAACAGAAAGACAGCTGGTTGTGGTGGCCACGCCTGCGATCCCAGCACTTGGGAGGCTGAGGCAGGAGGCCACACTGAACTACATAGTTCAGGCCAACCTGGGCTACATAGTGAGTCCAAAGTCAGCCTGAACTACATGGCAAAAGCCTGTCTCAAAAAGCCAAAAGTAAACAAATAAAATCCAGAAATACAGAATTTAGAATGATAAGGAACTGAACCAGCTCTGGCCTTGAATGTTGGCAAGAGAGCAAAAACTGTAGATACCGTACAAAGATTTTTCTGCACCACCAAAACATGCTTTTCAGATGGCCCTTGAAAGAAACTCCTGTGTGTCTCTTTTCATGACAGCATTTCCCATATGGTATCACTTTACCGGGGGAGGGTCCTTGACATTTTTCTCCGTTGACTGACTTTATTTCTAACACAGGGCACCCTACAGTTGACAAGCTGATATAGTTCAGTGTTATGCAGATGAATGACGACTATTAACAGTCTCAATTATTTGTGCTTAAGTTATCTAATTTGCATGTAGTTTGTGTACTCCTATTCCTCGTACGCTGGCTCAGTACCGGGACAAGCTGCACGCGCCAACAAACATGTAAGACAATGTTTGCCTACATTAAAGGGTTGATTGCATTGGGTTGTTGGAAACAGAAGTAGAAAGAGTAAAAAGGACACATACAAAAAGTAGGGTATTTCTAAGGTTTGGAAAGGGGGGAAACTGTAGGATACTTGATGATGAAGGCTTCAAACCCATCCTAAGTTCTTGTGTCTGCCCCCCAACCCCGCCCACCCCGAGGCGCCACGGGATGCATGGATGATTCGCTAGAATAGAAACGAGTACCCTAAGAAAAACGCATAAGCAGCCTAGCGCAAAGGGAGCAGGGGTCTCAGCACTAGCGACCCGTAGGTCGCAGGTCTGGCTCGGCGGCGCCCTCCCTGGGGTCGCCGGGGACATTGGATCCTTTCTACTCAAGGCAGGAAGGGCGCCGTTCCCAGCCGCAGAGCGCAGCGCGCTCACGGGGTGGGGCCGCCGGGTGGGCCCCAGCATCCAGCAGCCGCAGCTCCGGGCACTGGGGCTTCACTGCAGCTATTGCGCAGACTCTGCGTTCCACGCAGGCTTATTAGGAAGAAAGAGGGCAAAACTGCCCGGAGGCACGTGAACGCGTAGGGACCAACCGGGCCTCCGCGCCCCGCCGCATCCCAGTCCCGAATTTACGATCACGAAAGTTCGACCGCCCGCGGATTGGCTCTCGGGCCGCATGACGTCATAGCGCTTGATCCCTGCTCGCAGCCGGGATTGGCTGGCCGCGGCACTGTGACGTCACGGTCAGCCCACGCTCCGGCTGTGGACAGCGGCGCCTTCCTCTTACCCGCGGCCGGCGCTCCTCTCGCTTCGCATCCTCGTCGGCTCCAGCTGGCCGCGGGAGTCCCGCCGCCGCTGCCGCCGCTGCGCTGTCCTCGGAGCCGCTGCTACCTCGGAGGAGGTAAGCCGTCCTAGCGCGGCCGGGACGCCGAGCTGTGACGCCGCGGCCGTGGGTCCGAGCCGGCCGGGCTGCCCGTGCCGGTGCCGCGCACCTGCTCGCGGGGGCCGTGCGCCGACGGCGCCGCCGGGTCGCGGCCCGAGCGGAGGGTGGGTCGCGGCAGTCGGAAGTGCTCGCGCGGGGAGCCAGCCGGTTTCGGGCTTCTTGAGCTGCGAGTCGGGCCGCGCCCGCGCCCGTTACTGGCTAGCTCCGACCCGGCAGCGGCGGCGCGGGCGCGGGCTGGACGCCCTGGGGAGCTGGCGGGGCGGACGAGAGGGACGCCTGCGCGGGGAAGTCCACCCGAGCGGTCTCCGCGGCCCGACCTCGGCGGAGGAGCCGGGAATGCCCGGCCCGAGCTGTTCTCCAGCTGCCTCGCGACCGTTGCGTTCTGTTGCACTTGGTACACAGCTCCTTCCTCGCGGCTGTGAGTTGAACTCTTCTCCTGGCTCCTTGCTTGCAGTTTTGAAGAATGCACTTGGCTAAGTTTTGCGAAGGGTAGGAAATTTCATTTGTGGGTGACTTAGTCTTGGTGAGTAACCGAGAGGTGCTGATGGGTGTTTTTAGGGAGCGACCGGCTCTTTTTTTTTTTTTTAAATAGCGGGATCCGTGGCAGGAAGTGTTTTATAGGGTTGTGCGGAAGAGCTAGCTGTTGCTGCTTAGGTTTTGTAATTTGTTTCCCTACTCATCTGGCAGATAACCTGTTGATCTGTACTTGTTTTGCTTGCACCTCTTGGCCAACAGCGTTTGGGGCAAAATCTTCAGATATGCATTAGGTGCCTCTGGGTAAACACTTAGGTTGACCTACACCCCATTTGCGGATGGGGGACAAGTGGATCACTTTTGTAGTTACCTCAGACACTGCTTGACATTCTCCAGCAAACCTCTGCCCTCAAAAGACATGTGTTGCTAGTTTTCCTTGTATATTCTCACCCACAGATTATAAATTCTTATTGCCAGGAATTTCCTGCACTCTTGTGTCTTTGCATTTTCTTTTTCTGTTTCAATTTTTAACCAAGGACAAAAGGTTAAACCATCGATGGTTACTGACGGTAATTTTACAGAACATACGGTAGAATCTTGCAGAAATGTGCAAGTCGAAAGCATATTAGCATTTGTTGACTTTTTCCAGAAAAGTATTGCATAAACTTAATGCCCTGGCTCCCTCAACTCAATTTCCTTGTCCACACGTGGAAGTTTGGTGTTGCTAATTTATTATAGATTTCGACAGAGGATACAAGTCAAAGCATCCAGCATGAGCCCTGCCAAATGGTTTAAATGTTTTATTTTTTTATCCTGAGATTCACAGTACTTTTTGTTAGAGATGTTTTTGGGTGTTTGATGTTGGCTGAAGTGTCTTTCACTGCTTTTTTTGTGGGGCCTCATCATAATTATTGCTTGTTCTCTTGCTGTTGGGGATTAGTACTCATCCTTGGATGTATTTTTTTTTTTTTTTTGTCTTTTTCATTTTTATCGGTACCAGGGATCGAATTCATGACCACCTGCTTGCAAGGCAGGTGCTTATGCCACTGAGCTAAATCCCCAGCCCCATCCTTGAATGTCTTATATCCAAATTAATTATGCAAATCTAGGCAAAACCGTTTACCTTCAGTTAGGGTAACCAAGGAAGGTAGAGGACAGTGTGAATAAATCATTTTACCTCTTCCTTTCCAGGACATATACTTCTCCTCCCCTGTAAATCTGGTAAGTTTTTTGGATTCCTTTCCATGACTTCCAACTCTTCTGTAGCTAATAAGGTAACCCTTCCATTCCTGCAAGTTTTTCTTTGGATAGGTTTTATTTTGGATGTTATTGATGTAAGAATCTATTTACTAACTGGTTGCTTCCCACACAATCCTTGTAACATCCCTGTGAGAAGTGTTATCTCCCTTTTTCTTTTGCTTTCGCTTTCCCTTTATTTTTGAGAACTGATGCCCAGCAACATCAAGTGACTTCCAAATTCACATAGTTCTGTCCCCTTCTACATATGTGTTCCTTGGCCTGTCATACTACTGCCAGGACGCTGTCCAGTTGACTGTGTGCCATTTATGTAACTATGTTACTCCTTAACTTAAAAATCTAACTTGTGCTTTTTAAAGCTCCATCTGAAACGTCCAAGACTGACAGTTTGTCAGCTTTCTATGTTCTCTTTTTTTTTGAGACTGCACTTGCTACTTTCTTTGTATACATTTACTAGTTTTGGAGTATTTAAGGTATGCATGGTGGGAGGGAAGTGAATGAATGACACAATTCCTGATTCCAAGGGGCTTTTTGATTTAGTTTGCACTTTAAGCCTTGCTCACAGTTTTATACCTTAGAGCAAAGGGAGTCTGAAGCTGATTTCTGGGCCACTGGCTAAATACCACATACTGGGGAAAGCTTCATGACAGCGCTGTCCAGGTTAGCCCATTGCCTGTCGCTGCTGAATTGATCAAGATGCTTTTGGTATAAGAAGGAAAACCTACTTCAGATGGGTGTGACCTCTTAGATACCCCCAAGAAATCCTTGAGGGCCAAACTTTTTACTGTTTTCCCACTGAAGCCCTTTTAGATACTGATTTTGTTTTTAGGCTAATTTTGCACGCGGCCTGCAGCTGTCACTACTGTAAAAGGAGTTCACTTTTTCAGAGAATGTCCTTGGCCTCAGGCGATTGATTTAGGCCTTGTTTACTTGAAGCAGTGCCTGGAAGTTTACTTGAAGCATTATCCTGGAACAATAGAAATCTGATGACGGGATGTCCCAGAAATGAAATTAAGTCCCACCTTACTTAGCTACCAGCCTCTATGGAGGGCCAGGTAGACAGCAGAAAGTCAGCTATGGGGTCTCCTCAGGACCCCCAGAGTGTTGGCACTGTACAGGCTATTGGGTTAAATTAAATTGAATTCAGTTGACAGTTAGCCTTCCATTTCACAGAGGTTGGCAAGCAGTGACAGGATTTGCATTATAGAGAGTGGGAGATTGGAGAGCAAAGCAGTGTGGAGCCTTGGCAGGAAGCAGGTAGCCGGTTGGTAGAGGGGCAGAAGTAGAGAGGTTGGTAGGTGTAGCAGAGACTCAGCGATGGTAGCTGTCTTTATGGAGCAATTTCCTTATGTGTCAGAGCCTGTGTAAAGCGTGTTTGGGGTTTATCTGTATTATTGATTGGCACTAGAGCGTTCCCACTTCTTCAGGTGAAGAAATGGAGGCTCCGAGGAGTTGTTACTTAACCAGGCACACACAGCATTCCAGCCTCCACCTCTTGACTCCCTTAGCCTGTTCTGCTGAGGGTTTGCTAACAGGCTGTCGCTGTGCTTTGGGAGCAGGAGCACTTTATGAATGTGTGGGATACCACACTAGGAATGTGGAGAGGATTGAGAGGCTGCCAGAGTGGGCCAGGGAGGTGCTGGCCTGTAACTCGGAGGCTCTGTTACTGAGAACCTGGTGGGCAGTTGGATCCGAGAGCCAGCTTGGGGAAGGCAGCCTGAGGCAGGTGGTAGGCGAGCCCTCTGGAGTCCGGGTTTCTCCTCTTTGGCAGCTTCAGTCTTGCCCCTTTCTCAGTGCTCACTGCAGGTAGGTGCTGCTGCCACTGTCGTCACCCCATCCTTTGACCGTTTTCACAGTGTGACACCAGATACCGCCTATAATCGGTGATCTTCAGTTCACTGTCCTTTTCTATATTTCAGTACCCCTGACCTTAAGGTGCTTCTCCACCGTCAGTGAAGAACCGCTGGTGAGGAGAGGAGAGTCCTGGTCCTGTCAAGCTCACCTAGCCAGGGACTGGCAGAGCCAGAAGTAAGAGCAAAGTGTTGCACCCCTTCCCCCAGCTCAGTTACCTCATGGAGCACAGCTGACATTGAAATGTGCACAGCATGGTGCTCTAGGGGAATAGTAAAGTGCGTGCTGCTCTGTCTGCTTGTGAAGAGCGCGGTGGTTGGAGGAGGGAGCCCTGCTCTTGTACAGAAACTTGCTGACTTGCTGTCTTGTCCTAACCTGCTCCCTACCATGAGGAAATCAGCTCTGGACATTGGTCTCTCTCTCTTTCCATTTGTTTATCTTTTTAAGTTGTACCCAGGTCCTTTTCATGGAACTGTACCCTGCACCCCACCTTTCACATTTTTTAAAATTAGATTTTATTGGTGCACTGTAGATATACATAGTGTTCACATTCATCCTAGAGAATCTGTACTTGTACATGATATAACTTGTTTTTCCCCCATTCCTCTATTCTCCCTTCAATTTTTAAAAAGCTGAGTAATTTTATTTTTTTTAAGAGGATAAAACCAGTGAAAATAAACCAGTTTAAGTGATACTTCAGAACCTTACGAAATCAACAATAGTTCCCATGATGCCTTTTGTTGCCTTCAAAATAGCTGCGGATACCTTTGGACATAGTAAAAACCAAACAGAACAGAATAGAATAGAAACAATAAAAACAAAACAATGAATGCAATATAGGACTTCAAAACAAGCCAGTAGTAAATCCAAAATGGCTACCATAATATGTCTTGCTATCTTTTAAATAGCTGCTCATGCCATCAGATTTAACATAATGAAAAAAAGAATGAAACCCAACCCCAAAAATAATGAAAATCCAGGCGGAGATCACCTCCTGGTGAGGCCTGGTCCTGTGTCCCTCCCCCCCCCCCAGTCCAGGAATGGTGCTGACTCACAGAGAGAGGCTGGGGTCTGGATGTCCCCACTCCAGCAGTGGCCCAGGCATGGTGCTGGTTTCCAAGTGGGGATCACCTCCTGGTGAGCCCTGATTCCCCCCACAGTCTGTGAATGGCCTCCATTTTTTAATAAAGGGATAAATCTATTTTCTTTTTTGCTGGGTAACACCTTCCCCCTTTGGGGGGGCTAGAGACAAAATGAAAGTTGAGATCATTTAGGTCATGGGAAAGTCCGCGTCTGAATCAGTGATGGAGCTGGAGTAGTAGAAGCACGCTGCTGCTGGTCTTGTCTTAAAAAGTTAAAATATAACTGCTGGAGGTGTTCTGATCTAGCAGAGCAAATTGTTCTGGAACCTTGACTTGACTTTGAGTTTCTGTAATAGGACCTCCCACCCCTGAATCCATAAATGTTACTGTCACCAACCTTTCAGTCCCTCTGGGCTCCCACTGGCTTGCTTTCTGCAGGGAAACATTCTTAGCTCACTCTTAGGCATTTACCTCCAGGACTGTGCGGTGCCTGGGTTTTCAGTATTCATACTCCAGCAGCCTTCAGAAGGCCTCCGCTCCTCCCTCTCTCCTTCCTGCCATTCCTATCTGAAGTGCAGTTGCAGCTGCATTCAAGCCACGTGAGCATCACTCACTAGCGATGGGGTCTGGAGGTCCCCACTCCAGCAGTGGCCCAAGCATGGTGCTGGTTTCCAAGTGGGGATCACCTGGTGAGGCCTGATTCCCCCCACAGTCTGTGAATGGCCTCCATTTTTTAATTCACATCACTAGCGATTTAACTTAGACTGTTGTATTTTGTTTGATGTCATTACTGTCTAGAGTTTAGGAAAAAGTTTAAGGTTTTTAGGGCCCTGGGTTTTTCATTGGGAGATTGATCATTTTCTTGAAACATCCTTTCAGTTTTAATTCTGAGTCTTGGTTTGTGCTAGACTGGCAGCCCTGCTAGTTCATGCTGGTAGTAGGTTCCATCTCTATTTGTTCCACCTTTGCCCCTTTCTTTTTCCCATGTCAGTGGTTTCATCCTGTCAGAGTTAATCTCTTTAAGCCCATTCTAAACAGACCAAATTAAAGTCATGCTGGAGAGTTGGCCTCTCAGGTATATGTTTTATTTGAGTTTCTGAACCCCAGAGTACTGTTCCCCTTTTGTCTTTGCATAGCAAATGCTACAACAAAGTGATTATTATGAATTTCTTCTTCCCCAAAGAATAGTTCTCATGACACCAATTCAGTAATTACTCGTTTGCTTCCCTGGAGTTTGGCCATGTGGTAGATGTCCCTAGGGTAATGTTCAGGGTGCCTCTCCTTGAGTTTTTGGCAGTGGAAAGCAATTACTTTAATATTTACAGAAGTTGTTGACACCTCCATTGGCTGTATTTGCTAGTTAATGTGCATACTTCTGAGAAAAGTTGAATTTGCTTCTGACAGAACCTCTGAGTATTGACTTGTTATGGAGCTGAGTTTTGTTTGAAAGAGCTCTTCTGTGCTTGTAAGTAAGGGGGCTGTAGGAAGCAGGTTGCCTCTCACTCACACCTGCACAGGATTGTCTCAGTCACTGGGGATCAGCAGGTAAGTCACTGTGATGGTACCTGCACCTGTTTCAGTACTGCTTGTGACAGGTGGGGCACTGACTAGCTTGGTTAACAGGGTAAAAGAGTCCTCTTACTCAAGACAGTAATTGAAGCAAGGGATCAAAACAGCTCATACAGCACAGCCCTGCAGGAGAGCTGTGCCACGTATGGCACTTTATTCTGAAGTGCTTGACATAGACCAGCTCATTTGAACTCACAAAAACCCACGAGGTAGGAATGCCAGCTTTATAGATGAGGAAGCTTAATGGGCAGAAAGGTCATTTGTCCCATAGGTGGCAGGCAGCAGAGCCAGCATTCAGACCCAGGAAGACAGCTGTAGTCTGCTCCCAGCCGCTTCGTGGAGCTATAGCCTGTCCATGCTAAAGCACCGTCTTCATGTGTAACTTTGCCTGCCGAAGCCAGAGGAAACAAAGTTGAGTTTCTTATCATTACATTCTGAGGAGTCATGGGGCTTTTGGTGACAATGCACAAAGGTTTAACAACATCAGAAGTGCTGATAGGGAGAAGTATTTATGATTAGTCCTTGAAACGGTGACCTTTTGTCTCTTGCCTTGTCTTTTTTTAGATATTCTCAGAGTTGAATCTTAAACCTAGTCTTTTTTGGGAAGTCAGAAAGTGCAGAGCTGGGGATGGATGTGCAGCTCGCTCAATGGTAGAGTCCTTGGCCAAGGTGCACAAGGCCCTGGTTTGATCCTTGGCACCTTGGGAAAGAAAAAGAAAGTAGAAATGCAGCACTCTGTTGGCTTGAGAAATCAGCGCTCAGAAGCCTAGCCTGACTCATTGATTTAAGGAGTCTCATCCTGGTGTCCTTAACCTGGCCCCGGCTGCAGCTGGATTTGATTTACAGGTATAGTTCGGACAGGAAGGATACCCGATCCCTGGGAGCTTTTGTCTCCAGATCTCCACATGGTCCAGTTTCCCTTAGATGGAGATAGAAATCATGAGTATTTTGAAAACACCTACTGGGCTATTCCGATACAAGCCCCATTTGGGGTGCTCCAAACTGGCCATAGAGTTCGAACAATAAACCCTTTTCCAGCCATGTTTGGGTCTATTGAGATTCCTAGGCATGTCCAGAATTTGACTTTTTTTCTGGGGAGAGTCACTAGGTCTGACAGGGCTTTGGTGGTTAAAAGTACAGTAATTCCTGAAATAAGAAAGTCACTCATGCGCTGGCTTGTATATTAGTATGGAATCTGACCTTGTGATAAAAACCTGTTGGTTTTGGCTATATTCTATAGAAGAGATGAATGCAAAATTACTAATTTATGCTTAATGCCACACCAGGCCGGGCATGGCACACACGCCTGTAATCCAAGCACGCAGGAGGATCACTGTGAGTTTGAGGCCAGCCTGGGTTACAAAGTGAGCTCAAGGCCATCCATAGGCATAGTGAAATCATAGCAGTCCCTCCAAAAACATTTTAATCGCACCTCTCCCTCATTTATCCTTGTACTCAAATAATACTTGCTAAATGTGTGTTTGGATTGAGTTTTGAAAAAGAACTGTGTTTATATGTTACATGCCTTGTTACACAGGTTTAAATTCAAATCACTAAAAAAGTCCTCTTGGGAGATTGTATGACTGTATTAATTGCATTTCTCCACCCTCTTTAATTTCAGCTGAGGCTATGATACTGCCTTTGTACATTTTGTACAAATTAGTTTGGAGAACATGGTAATTTGCTTTGAATATTCAAGTAATAGCATCAGTTATGAGACCACAATGAGAGAAGAATTACAAGTAGCTGCCCGGAGAAGAAAATGTTGCTTAGAGGCCTCTTGGCTATTTGTCTCCCAGCCAGTTTTAGTTGCAGTCTGTTGGTTTAGCTGTTGCGAATGTGATTGAAGTGGACCCAGCCTCTTGCAGCCCAGTCTTTAGGGGAACCATTAGAGACAACATGCAGCCCCTAGATGGCCATGACCTGCAGCGGTCATCTTCTCTGCAGACGTGCTTTACCTAGAAGGCAGTTGCCCTGTGTGCCAGGTGGAAGTGCTCTAAACAGCCCCATTTTAGCATCGTCTCACGATGTCCACATCCCCAGGAAAGAGGTGCGTGCTGTGATGGCTTGCTTTTCAGAGGAATTCCTCTTTGTTTCCTTTGCAAGGGGCAGTAGGGTTTGGAATGCTGGTCCATGCTGACTGCAAAGGAGGCACGGTGACTGCAGAGAAGTGAAGTAGTTGCTTTGCTTTGCTTTCTCTCTTCCCTGTCCTTGTCCCTTTGTCCCTTTCTCTTATTTGTCGTGGGGGTTAAACCCAGGCCTGTGCATGCTATGCCCTCTGTTACTGAGCTACATTCTTAGCTCAGCTTGTCATCAAGGCTGGGCAAAGAATTCAGGTTTGAATTTATTGTCTTTTTGAAAAATGGGAAAGAACTTACCAGAATTTACAAAGGAGGCAGATAGTTGTCGAGTACTATTGGAATACCAAGTCTCACTGGTTGACCTGCTTGGTTAACTTCAAGGCTGTACTCATTGTCTATCTCAGGTGCTTCTTTCTTACTTGTCTCTCTTTCCTGAGCTCTTGGC